AAGAATCAACATTGTTAAAATGTCCATATTACCCAAAGCAATTTCCAAATTTAATGCAATCCCTATCAAAGCACTACCGTCATACTTTAAAGATCTGGAAAAAATCGTACTTCATTTTATATGGAACCAGAAAAAACCTTGAATAGCCAAGACATTACTCAGAAATAAGAACAAATCAGGAGGAATCATGCTACCAGACTTTAAACTCTAATATAAATCTATAGTGATCAAAACAGCATGGTATTGGCACAAAAATAGAGAGGTAGATGTACGGAACAGAATTGAGAACCAAGAGATAAACCCAGACACTTATCATCATTTGCTCTTTGATAAGCTATCAAAAATATAAATTGGGGGAAAGATTTCCTATTTAACAAACGGTGCAGGGAGAATTGGCTGGCAACTTATAGAAGATTGAAACTGGACCCACACTTTTCACTAAACAATTTTTAACAAAAATTGACTCTCACTGGATAAAAGATTTAAACGTAAGACATGAAACTATAAAGATTCTTAGAGAAAGTGCAAGAGAAACACTTGAAGAAATTGGCCTGGGAGAATACTTTATGAGGAGGACCCCCTGGGCAATTGAAGCAACACCAAAAATCCATTACTGGGATCTGATCAAACTAAAAAGCTTCTGCACAGCCAAGAACACAGTAAGTAAAGCAAGCAGACAGCCCTCAGAATGGGAGAGGATATTTGCAGGTTATGCTTCTGACAAAGGCTTGATAACCAGAATCCACAGAGAACTCAAACTTATTAATAAGAAAAGAACAAGTAATCCCATTTCACTGTGGGCAAGGGACTTGAACAGAAGCTTCTCTGAAGATGATAGGTGCATGGCCTATAGACACATGAAAAAATGCTGCTCATCATCTTTAATCATTAGAGAAATGCAAATCAAAACCACTTTGAGATATCATCTAACTCAGTAAGAGTGGCTCACATAGCAAAATCCCAAAACTACAGATGCTGGCGTGGATGTGGAGAAAAGGGAACATTTCTGCACTGCCAATGGGAGTACAAGCTAATACATCCCTTTTGGAAAGAAGTATGGAGAATACTCAGGGACCTGAAAGTAGACCTGCCGTTTGATCATGCAATTCCTCTACTAGGCGTATATCCAAAAGACCAAAAATCACTTCATAACAACGATATTTGCACCAGATTGTTCACTGCAGCTCAATTCATACTAGCCAAGTCACAGAAGATGCCCAAGTGCCTATCGACCCATGAATGGATTAATAAATTGTGGTATATGTATACCATGGAATATTATGCAGCCTTAAAAAAGATGGAGACTATACCTCTTTTACGTTTACATGGATAGAGCTGGAACATGTCCTTCTTAGTAAAGTATCTCAAGAATGGAAGAAAAAATATCCAATGTACTAAGTACTATTATGAAACCAATTTACAATCACTCACACTTTCATATGAAGAATAGATCATAACTATGGCCCAAGATGAAGGAGGAAGAAAGGAGGGATAGGAGGGGAGAGGGAGGTCAGATCGAAGGAGAGTGAATGGTGGGATCACACCTTTGGTGCATAATGCAAGGGTACACGTTGGCTCTATTAGTACAGAGTATAAATGTCTTAACACAATAATTAAGTAAACGAAATGAGGTATATGTTAACCAGTGTGATGTAAGGTTCCTAATTCTATATGAAATCAGTACATTGTACCCCATAAATGCATTAATGTATACACGATCTAAGTGTTTATGATTTAATTTAAAAAATAATAAACAAATAAAATAAAAAATAGCTAGGTATTGTGGCAGGCACCTGTAGTTCTAGCCACATGGGAGGGTGAGGCAAGAGAACTGCTTAAGCCCAAGAGTTTGAGGTTATTGTGACCTATGACACCACAGCACTCTACCAAGGGTGACCAAGTAAGATTCTGTCACACACACACACACAAAATATATATATAAAATGTATAATATATATATATATATATATATAAAATGTATAATATATATATATATATATTTTTATAAAACTGGTTTTTGATGACTATAGGAAACATTCAGAAGAACACAACTTACTTCTGTGGTATTCTTCCCAAAAGTGCAAAACCTGAAACTAATTGTATGAAAATACCTGACCTATACAGTTAAGAAATATTCTATTAAATAACTGGCTTAGGTGAAAACATTGGGTCAAGAAAGACAAAGGAAAATTCAGGAAACATACCAGATTAAAGGAGAGGAAAGAGACATGAGAACTAAACACAACATGTGATGGCGGATTAGAATGTGCACACTACCAACCTGCCCCCAAATTTCTACAAAAGACAATACTGGGACAACTGGCAACATCTTAAGATTACATAACAGTATTGAATAAATAGGAATTTCCTAATTTTGATATGTGTACTGCGGTTATACATGCAATTTGTTTCAAAATGGTTAAGGAAAAAAAATTGTGTACAAAGAAGATAAAGCAAAGGAGATAAAACGTAAGAATTCTAGGTTCAGGGCAAGTAATTCTTTGCGCTACTCTTGCAAATTTTCTGTAAGACTGATATTATTTCAAAATTAAAATTTTCAAAGAAAGACTCCAAGGAACTAGGCAACAGAAATAAGGCTAGTTAGAGGCATGGGCCTACATAATAGAGGACTTAAAAGTCAGTAAAAATTTAGATTTCAATAATAAATATTAAATACAAATTAAGAAAACATGACAACAGTATAAATAAGTACCAGCATGGAGCCACAGAGGGGTGGAGCAGTTAAGATTAAGGGATGCAGGAGGGAAACAAAAACAGGAGGGAACGGAAGGACAACGTAAAGGAAAGCTTATCCTCAGGGAAAAAAATGTTTTAGGGCCTAGGAGTTAAAACATAACAAGTACATGCAGGATTCTCTGGCAGGAAACAGAGGTCCTCTGGCCCTAAGTTTCTCTGCCCTGGAAGGAAGAATTCATCCTCAAAGGAAACCATACTAGCCTTCCCTCCATTCAATTAAAAAAATTAAAAGAGTATTTACTGCTCTTAGGTCCTTTCTATGTACTAGGACATAGCATGATTTTTCACTCTGGTGCAATTTACCTTCCAGTGAAAGAGACATTTAATAAACAAATAATTCAATAAATTATTTCAGAAAGAGCCAGGGAAAAAAATAAGTCAGAGTAGTGTGACCAAAAAGTACCTGGAGTTATCAGGGAAGACCTCCCCAAAAAGGTAAAATTTGAACTGAGGAATGAAAAGTCAACTCTGCTAAGATCAAAGTGCTCAAACAGAAAGAACCAGACATGCAAAGGTCACAGAACAAGCTGGTGTGGATGGAACCTATAAACCAAGCAGAGTTGTAGGAAACAAAGTCTCCTGGTTGGGGCCCAGATCAAGTTGAACCTCAATTGGCATTTTATTCTAGATTCAGTGGAAGGCCTTTTGGAAGATGTAAAGCAGCAGAGTGATATGATCTGATTTATGATCTTAAATGTTCACTTTGGCTGCTACACTCATAGATGAAGGGAAAAGAACAGAAGTAGAAAGACCCACGGGTAGCTACGGCAGTCCAAGCAAAACGTGATAAAAGTTTTGGACTAAGTATATTGGCATGACGATAGAGTAGTAGAGAGGTTCCATATATATTTAGGAGGAAGAACTAAAGGCCTTACAGATAAACTAGAGAGAACTCTGCTGAAAAGTTTAGAAATACTAATTTGCAAGTCACCAGCCAGGTGCAGGAGCTTGCACAGTAATCAGGAGTTAGAGACCATCCTGAGCCAAGAGCAAGACCACTTCTCCATTAACAATAGAAAACTAGCTGGGTGTCACGGTGGGTGCCTATAATCTCAGCTACTCCAGAGGCTGAGGCCAGAGGATTGCTTGAGCCCAAGAGACTGAGATTGCTGTTAGCTGTAACAACGCCACAGCACTCTGCCCAGGGCAACAGAGTGAGACTCTGTCTCCAAAAAAAAAAAAAAAAAGAATCTGCCCCATCACTCTCCAGCTCTCTCTAGGGCTCTGAGACTGACATTTCACCTGCCTGCTAGAAATGTCCAGTGTCCTGCTAGAATCTCCAACTCTAAATTTGTCCAAATCAGAATTCACCACCTTCCCATATAAATAAATATCTTTTCCTTATTTATTTCTACTGTTGGTACTTCCACTCACCCAGACTCAATACACTTCAGAGTTAAAGTCACCCTTTCCCCTCATCCCTACCTCCTACAACCAAAATATGCAAATCCTCTCTTTGTGATATCTCCCGCATTCACTTCCCTTTCCACCCTGAGTGTCAATACTTTTTAAAAAGCATCAAACTGGTCTCCAATTCATGCTATAATACCCTGCTGCAAAAGACTTTTTATCAGATTGGGTACGAACTCCTCAATCTGGCATTAGAAGCCCTCCTTAATGTATCTCAAACCTTATTTCTAGTCTTTCAGCATGCATGCTAGCATAAGGCCTGCCGGTAAACCAAAATGACCTGCTGGTCCCCCATACCTCATACTGTCTCACTTCTGTACCCTCCCACCTGCTTCAGAGATGTGACCTGTCTCTGTTCCTCACTTGCCAAAAGTCTACCCCCTTCCAAAGCCCAACTTGAATGCCACCTTCATTAACTTGCCCTGCTATCTTCATTTAAATGTACTTTATGATTTTTCTTATGGTTCCTATCACACATGACCTTGCATCTGAGGATTGTGGATATTTTTCATATCTACAAACATACTGGTTTTTGTGTATGTCCATTGAAAGCAGAAACTTTGATAGTCATCTTTACATTTCAAACAATAACTGTCAAAGGATCCTGCACTCAGTAACATTGACATTTATGCATTTATGCATTCACAAAAGTAGCTCCTATCTGAATTAAGAATACAAAGCATACAAGGTTTGCTTTAGGCTTTTAGTACATTGATATTTAAGCAGGCAATGTTTGCATCTGAGCTTATAACACAAATCTCTAATTTCAGGAAGAGAAAGAACCTGTTGACTAAGGGGATATAGCAGAAATTGCACAAATTAAACCAACTCACTTCATTTTCCTGGGCAAGTCTTAAAATTTCATCAAATGTTACAAATGTGTCATTTCCTCTGACTGCATCTTTTTCCATAAATCCAAGATGAATATCTGTTGCAACTAAGATTTTAAATGTATTTTCATCATCACTGTATTAAAAAAGAAGAAACATTTTAATATAATTAAAAAGATATTCAAACAAATTGAGACTTAAACTTATAAAATAAATAGCAGTTATGGAGTTACTTGACTAGTCTTAGATTTCTGTCTGAAAACTAGAACTATTCAACAAATACATAACATCATATACTTTTCCTAACCACTAATTCAATATAGAACACATGTACATAAATTTTACAAAGGTTCTGTAGCTGCTTTGAAAATTTATAACCTTATTATAATAACTTTCATACACTCATATATAACATGATCCCAAAAGGCTTAGAACCTTTTATCTAAACTTTCTGTTTATCTGATTTTGTACTTTCTCAGTTAATTTAAAAAGCCTACATTTGTAAGTAGATTTGTATTAATAAGCAGTAACTTAAATTCTGAAAACTACTTGCTTTACGTTATTCTTTATGGAAAATTGGTTTTTCATTAATAAATTTGTCCCAGTAACAAGATAGAATTGTTTCAATCTAAATTAAACTTGCTAGTATTTGAAGGTATTTTCATGTGAAGCAACAATGTACTTCATAGCTCACTATAAACTCAAACATCTGGGCTCAAGCAATCCTCATGTCTCAGCCTCTCAAGTAGCTGGGACTATAGGCATGTACCACTGGGCCTAGCTAATTTTTCTATTTTTTGTTGAGACAGGGTGTCACTTTTGTTTAGGCTGATCTCAAACTACTGAGCTCCAGCAATCCTCCTGCCTCAGTCTCCCAGAACCCTAGGATCACAGGCATGAACCACTGTGCCTGACCCTGAAATAGTTATTAATACTCACGTAATATAACTTTTAATTCTTTAAAATATTTGTATATCTGAACTCATCTCAGCTAGTACAAGGGAAGAGGCAGGCATCTCATGATAAAAACCCAGCCTATTTTCTTTTAACCATATAACTTTAAGAAAAAAAATTGTAGGCTGGGTGAGTGGCTCACCTCTATAATTCTAGCATTCTGGGAGACTCACGCAGGTGCTTGCACTCACAAGTTCAAGACCAGCCTGAGCAAGAACAAGACCACATCTCTACTAGAAATAGAAAAACTAGCCAGGGGCCGTGGCAACCTCCAATAGTCCCAGCTACTGGGGAGGATGAGGCAAGAAGATGTCTTGAAGACCAAGAGCTTGAGGTTGCTGTGGGGTGTCACAGCTCACCCACTCTACCAAGGGTGACAAAATAAGACTCTCTCTCTCAAAAAAAAAAATTATATATATCTCCAAAATTCAAATTTTTATATACAAAACTTATTTCCAGAAAAGATCTTTCTTCAAAAACTTCAAAACTTATATGCACACAGTTCTGATTGTTATAAACAAATAGCTAGGTCAGAATACTTTTCAGATCACATGTCCAGATATTTCCACAGCCATTTATAATGTGTCTTCATATGCATTCTCTCATTTAAACCTCAAGTTTAATTTGAGAAAGGCATTATTCTGTCAACTATATAAATGGAGAAACTGAGGCAAGGTTTAGAGAACTGTAGACTTGCCTGAAGTCACACAGCTCGTACTAACCAAGGACTTTAAACCAGGGTAAAAGATTCGGAGTCTAAAGTTTTTCCACATAACTTTTACAATCTTTTATTTCCATTTTACTCAAATTCATTTCCAGTTTATACAATACTAGAGCAATTTACTCTAAAAATCTACTTTATATAGAATTACACTAAGATTTTATCATGAAAATTCAAGTCTATAGCTCCAATAACTTATGATAAAGGCTAAAAACAAAAATTACACACTATAGCAATGTGCCAAACTATGGCAAGACTCCGATCTATAGCTGCATTTTATCTTTTAATAAACTAATGTAGTGTGGATTTTTAAACATTTCAAATATTCCTAACATTTCTGTTTATATGCCAGTTCCTTATTTATTGCTAATTTATTTAAAAAGTTTTCTTTTACAATGGTTATAGTTGTTGTGCTTTGGAAACCCAAAACAAAGGATTCCATAAGTCAAGTTCTTACAGGGCATCCGCAGGACTCATTTTTATGGGCTCTGGGACAAAGTTCCTCTCCAAGAACCCCGGGTCCTGGGTTCAAATGTCAGGAAATATACTCGATTCCAAATTCTAGCAAATTCTGAAAACAAAATAACACCATAAAACATAATTTATAAACGGCTCCATGTAACCAACATAATTTAAACTGCACATGGTACAGACGTCTTAAATAAGTAGTCATCAATTTTGGAAATTCCATTTTTATCTAAGCACTCATTATACTTTTATGGTTTTAATGGGCTAAGAATAGAAAATAATACCTCTCCAGTGCCATTCTAGTTTCATCATTATGATACCTCCTATTTTCCCTTACCACATTCTTATGGAAAATTAATGTACGTTACACAAAGGGGCAAAAAGTGTTACATACAGTTCTGGTTTAGTACACAAACGACTCCGCATGCGCAGAAATGTTTCAGTGTCCTGCATGGAGGGAACGCAGTATTTCCTGCGCAAACAAAAGTTTTGGGTTTTTTTTAAAGGACCGGGCTTGTTTTTAAAAGAGAAGCTGGTTTAAATAAACAAACACGTGGTGTGCGGAGAAACACCTTAAGGCTGCAGCAGGGCAACCGAAAACGGCCAACACACTGGGAGATAGGACTGCCACCGCGAAACAACCCCTCCCACGTCTGGAGTTCCAGATTCTGTGGGAACTCCATACGCCCTCTTCACGGGACTGTGAAGTCACAACGCGGAGTCCTCCTGGACCCCTTCCCAGCCGACTCGGCCCATCCTTCCCACAGAGTCCAATTCACTCTGGCCTTCCGCCCGGGAACCTGCAAAAATTGGAAAGGGCTGATTCCTAAATTACCCCACACCAGGACTCTTCAAAGCCCCACCATTGGGACTCGCGGCCGTCTTCAGTCGGAAAAAAAAGTGCGAGATATGCGAGAAGAAAAAACAAACGGTGGGAACCTAGTTTGCCTCCGGCATGCTGCAAGGCCGTGCAGCTGAATTAGGCGCGAGAGAACCGCATCGATTTCTCTCGCGATACCTTCTCAATGACGTCAGCGCTACGAGTCCAGTTCGGTTCTCATTGGCTACCGAATACCGAGAGGGGCCGGGAAAATAGAGACGAGGCCCCGCCCCCACGCGGGAGCCAATCTCTAGGCAGCCCAGAGGACAAACCCGGAAGCGAGGTCCGCGGCGGCGATTTTCTCTTCTGAAAGGTGGATGTGTCTTGCCGGGTCTCGGACCTCGCTTGCTGGTAAACGCGCGTCATCTGAGAGCTGCTGGGCTCGTACCGGTGAGGGACATGTCGATCCATGCCGAGCTCTGCAAGTCATGCCGCGTCTTGGGTCCCAGGGTAGGACCGAAAGTGGCTTCTCCTCTCTTGGCTGTGAGGAGGCCACAGGCAGACTCGCGGGCCTTTGAGTGACCGACCAGCAGGTGCCAGTGGGCAGGAACTCGTGGCCCTCACACTTGCTTGCCACTCATCAGACTCTCCAGTTTACAGGCTTTTATTACCTGCTCCCTTCGATTGTCGCCCCTGGGTTTTTGAGCACATAGGTATTACTTTGTGCTGACAGCACTAAAATGTAGGGCAGTGAAAAAATAATGTGAAACTTTTGAATCAATTCTATTGAAGAGCCTTTTATCTAGGGCAGGTTGCTTTAATCGCTCCGAACCTCAGCACCTTCACCTGTAAAATGGGGTTTGTAAAGCCCCGCCTGTTACTGAGTTGTTTGAGGAGTTGACAAAGTTAGGGTCTCTCTCAGAATGGAATGCGCCCTTTAAGTTAAGAAACATACCCTACCTATCATTTCCTGGTAGTCATCAATTTTGGAAATTCCATTTTTATCTAAGAACGTTGGTCGATTTTTTTAAACTCTGAATCAGGCAGATATACCTGGGTTTGACTTTTTAAATCAAATATGCCAAGGAAATGTTATATATAGTTTATGGTATCTGGATCTGTAAATTCCAAATTTATATAAAAGGAGTTTTTATAAAGAGGAAAGGCATGTTGGGGGAGGGGAATAAGAGCTGGGCTATATATAATGTTATTGTATTTAATATAATTTACAAGCGAAATGTGTATTATTTATCGGCATCCATTAAGTGTTTAATGAATTGAAGTATGATCACTTTTGTGTTGCAAGGTTCAGGAACTAGTTTGAGAATAAAGGAAAAGGTGGGAACTCCAAGACAACTTAGAAAACACAAAGCAATAGACTAAAAAGCTGGGCAGGTCTCAGAAATCTTTTAGTACAATCCTTATGTTTTATAACAAAGGAATAGGCCCAGAGAAGTTACTGGTAATGATTTATAGATTTGAGTTTTGGACCTTGTAATAAAATTTAATACCACATTAGGATTGTATACTATTAAACTTATGAAATTAGGTACAATGATTCGTATCTTAGGGATATTCTTAATTCAGAAACTTCTCAGAATCCATTCCAGGCAAAATCAAGTGATGTTAATGCTTGCTGGGACATGAATACTCTGTAAGTGTGGTCCCTAACTTTAAGTTTATAATCTTTGAAGAGTTCAAAATGAGAAAATAGTTCACCACAAAATAAGACAAACTGTAGTACTAAAAAAGGTAGAAAGCAAAGAGAGATCTATTTGGGAAGATCAAGAAAGAATCTGAGAAGAGCATTGGAAGACTGATAAGATTTCAACAAATAGAGTTGGGCAGCTGAGAAGTGGTATTTTTAATATCCCTTAGTTATTCTCATTTTCTTTAATTGATTAGGGCTTATATGCTGTGTAACTTTTAAGCTGATACTGGTTTATAAAGTAATATGCCAGCCTAGCAGAATAAATATCACTTCCTTCAGGAAGCCTTCTTTAAATCCTTAGGAATAGAATTTTGACTCTCCTGTATAGTTACGGAATCTGGGTGTGATCTCATCACAGTACTTACCACGTTGTCTTTGCCACTCACCTCCACTAGCCAGTAAGCTTCTTGAGGTGAACACACAGCTCTTGTTCATTATTGATTCCCAGTATCCAGAGACCAGCATATACTAGATATTGTGTTTTTATTTGTTGAATGAAGGAGTGAATGATTGCCAAAATTCAGTTCAAAACAAGAGCCAAATAAGAACTATAGCTGTCTATCAATGAATAGGACTACTTTTTAAAGCAGTGAATTTTCCTAGGCCGGAAATTATTAAAGTAGAAATAGATGATTATTACAGATGTTTTGTTGAAGATATCTGTGGGGCTGTACTGTCTTTAAGAATCCAGATTCTTTGGCTCGGTGCCTGTAGCTCAACTGGCTAAGGCGCCAGGCACGTACACCTAAGGTGGCAGGTTCCAGTCCAGCCCGGACTTGCTAAACAACAATGACGGCTGCAACCAAAAAATAGCCGGGCATTGTGGTGGGCGCCTGTGGTCCCAGCTACTTGGGAGGCTGAGGCAGAAGACTCACTTGAGCCCAGGAGTTGGAGGTTGCTGTGAGCTGTAATGCCATGGCACTCTACCCAGGGGGACAGCTTGAGGCTCTGTCTCAAAAAAAAAAAAAAGAAAGAATCCAGATTCTTTGAAGTATTTTTTAGAAACCGGAAGTTTTTGTTTCTGCTCTGTATTATCTGTGTCTAGTTTATAAAAATCTTAAATGTACTTGTCTTTATTATATTAAATTTTTAAAATGTCAAGCATTCATCACTCTTAGCATAACAGCATTGTACCTAAACCAACAGATTCAAAATAATATAGTTATAATAATGGTTGTACAGTTGAGTTAGTAGAAGACAACAAAAAGAAAAGTTAGAACATTAAGGATCATAGATAACTGAAATCTGTCACCTCCAATATTTAGTACATATAATGAGGATTAGGAGAAAAACACTAAAGAGTTTCAGTGGAGTTTATTTGTGTGTGTTTGCAAGATAATTATCTGTGCTGTTGATAAAGCCTCAATTACTGTTTTGCTAATAATTTTTTGTTTGTGATTTCAGATCTTGGTGAATAACATAAAGCAGACATAATTCATCTCTAGAAACATTGGTATCCTGGAATTTGAAATGCTTTTTATTTAGAATAATAGTAAGAATGGAAAAAGGAAAAGTAAATGATAGTGGAAAACCAGACCCAGAGAATTCCTTGGACTTTTCTGAACACTTCAATCAACTTGAATTGTTGGAGACACATGGACACCTTATTCCCACTGGTACTCAAAGTCTCTGGGTAGGCAATTCTGATGAAGATGAGGAGCAAGATGAAAAGAATGAAGAATGGTATCAATTGCAAGAAAAAAAAATGGAAAAAAATCCAAGCAAATTGCTTCTTTGGGCTGCTGAAAAAAATCGGGTAAAGAAAAAAAACAAAGAGGGAATGATAAGAGTAGGAAAAGCATTGGGTTGGAGCAAGCAGAAAGGCCCCTGAATCTCTATTTGTCTGTAAATTTGGGCAAACACTACCATTCTTGAACCTCTATTTTCTTATGTGTAAAAAAGGCCATAATGATACATGTCTCTTTTATACAGGATTGTGGGGATCAAATGAGGCAATATATGCAAAAGTACATATTAAGCCACAGAGGGTTATGTTAAATACTACTTGGAAGTTTAAGGGTAATTAACTCTGTAAAGATAATGATTGCAAGCAATCATCTGTATTTTTTTTTTGAGACAGAGTCTCACTTTGTGACCCTCAGTAGAGTGCTGTAGCATCATAGCACACAGCAACCTCAAACTCCTGGACTCAAGTGATTCTCTTGCTCAGCCTCCTGAATAGCTGGGACTACAGGTTCCCACCCCAATACCTGAGTATTTTTTAAAGAGGAGGTCTCTCACTCTTGCTCAGGCTGATCTCGAACTCCTGAGCTCAGGCATTCCACCCCCCTCAGCCTCCCAGAGTGCTAGGATTGTAGGTGTGAGCCACAACACCTGGCCTAATCATCTATATTTCTAAATCATTTATAGTCATTGCAGTTATCCTAGAAGTAAGTATTATTTAGGAAAGGGAGGATGAGAATTAACATTTATTAAATACCAACTATACTAGGTACCTCATTACATTATTCTGTCTAATCCTCACGTATCCCTACAAGAAAGGTAATATTCTCTTTTACAGAGTAAGAAAATGAGATTCAGGAATATTGATTTTCCTGGGATCACCCTGGTTGATCCTAGGATTGAAAGCCTGTTCTAAATTTCCTTGTCACTATTTTATTCTTTTGTGAAAGAAGTTTAATTTTTAAATGTTTTACACATTATGTATATTTGGTGTGATAAACCCGCTACAAAGAAAATCAGCCATTATGGGTTTTTTTTCCCACAGATGAAATGTAAAATACCATATACAATTACAGGTGGCATTATATAGGACTGTAGCTTTTGTGCAATAAGTTTTGATTGAACCAGGAGTAAATGTAAACGTTGATATTCAGAAATCTCATTTTTAGAAGCAGCAGAGTGTGGTTAACACTAACTTGCTCAGCTTGGCGCCTGTGGCTCAAGCGGCTAAGGCACCAGCCACATACACCTAAGGTGGTGGGTTCGAATCCAGCCTGGGACCGCCAAACAACAATAATGGCTGCAACCAAAAAATAGCTGGGCGTTGTGGCGGGCGCCTGTGGTACCAGCTACTCGGGAGGCTAAGGCAGGAGACTTGCTTGAGCCCAGGAGTTGGAGGTTGCCGTGAGCAGTGAAGCCATGGCATTCTTCCCAGGGGGACAGCTTGAGGCTCTGTCTCAAAAAAAAAAAAAAAAAACACTAACTTGCTTATTTGTACATCAGTTGCCCTGTCCTTCCAAAAAAGAAATCTTAAATTGTTTTCATTATAAAGTCATTTGCTAACAAGGAAGTTTTAATTTATCCTAATTAAATCTAATACAAGACAGTTAACTTCTCTCTGTTGTTCTGGTTCGAGTTGGATTTTTTTTTTTAGAGACAGAGTCTCACTTGATTGCCCTTGGTAGTGCTGTGGTATCACAGCTCACAGCAACCTCCACCTCCTGGGCTTAGGCGATTCTCTTGCCTCAGCCTCCCACGTAGTCGAGTTGGATTTTTAAAAGATTTCTTTTTCTTCTCAGCTTACTACAGTGCGGAGACTACTTTCTGAAAAGGCCGCTGATGTGAACACTAGGGATGAGGATGAATATACCCCTCTTCATCGAGCAGCCTACAGTGGACACTTAGATATTGTCCGCGAGCTGATTGCGCAAGGGGCAGATGTTCACGCAGTGACTGTGGATGGCTGGACCCCCCTACACAGTGCTTGTAAGTGGAATAACACCAGAGTGGCTTCTTTCTTACTTCAGCACGACGCAGATATCAACGCCCAAACAAAAGGCCTCTTGACCCCCTTACATCTTGCGGCTGGGAACAAAGACAGCAAAGATACCCTGGAACTCCTCTTGATGAACCGTTATATCAAACCAGGTCTGAAAAACAACTTGGAAGAAACTGCATTTGATATCGCCAGAAGAACAAGTATCTATCACTACCTCTTTGAAATTGTGGAAGGCTGTACAAATTCTTCACCTCAGTCTTAACAGTTCTAGTAATTTTTTTAAGTTCCTAAGTATCAGTGCCTCCTTTATGTGAGCTGTAAAATATTCCCCTTAGGCAAAGTTGCCATGAAATGTCTTACTGCAGAAATGTGGTGACACTCATCATAATGCTCTTCCAAGTGAATTGCCTGACCTTGATGTCAAAATATATTTGAAAGTTGTTTGGATATTTCTTAAATGATTTCTGTGGAGTTTGTGATTTTTACCAGAAAATCTTTAAACTGCCTATACTTAAAAACTTGACACGGGTTGTATAGAAATTAATGATATTTTTGGTGCTGATTCAAGAGAAATGTATTTTTAAATATCCCATATCCTGGACCTTTATTGAGTATTTCATATATCGACATATTTTTATAAGATGAGATTACCCAGAATTTAATTTTAAAGTCTTAAATATTCTGATGCAGTTCAGCTATCTACTCTGTATTACTGTAGCCAGTTGTTTTCATTTTAAACAAGAAAAATTAATATTAATGACTGAAGTCTTCATAAATTAAAGAAAAAAGTATCAAGAAGCTAAACCTTTGTCCTTTAGAGCATAAATCATTTTCAAAAAAGCATTAGCCTAGTGTTTAATCCATGAATGTTGTATACTGCCTCCCCTACTGCAATGCACACAATCCTGTGGACAGTCCTACCTCACCCTGGTCAGCTTACCTGATCCTTCTAATGGTGAATCAGTATGACCTCTTAGACGTGCACACAACTCTGCCTTGGTCCATGAGATCATATTATATCTGCTATCCAACTGGTTTTGCCTGCCTAATCTTGCTGGTTTGGGTAAGGCTGGAGTAGATTCTTGAGTTCACAGGAAATAGTGATTTTCCAAGATCCTCATTTTATACAAACCATACAAAGGCAAAGTGATAAGAGCAAAGGAATTGTAAGAGTAAGGGGCTGATTATGGTACTGGGGCTAAAAATCACAAAGTGTTTTTTAAAAAAAACCAGTGTGGATAGTGATAAAAAGCATAAATATGAATATTCAAGAAAAATAAAGTGTAAGTTTTGAACAACAAAAAAAAGCATGAATTATTTTTTCTTACCTGTTTATCACTTTCTGGGATCTAGAATGTAAGTGTTCATCCAGCAAATCTCCACTCTCTTGTCTCAAGCAGCAATTTCCCATTGGCCATCTAGACCCTGTGACTAATCACAAAGGGTTTTCTCTCAACTTCTTAATACCAGGACTTACACCTTAGAAGAAGGGACCTGAAAAGTATCCTCTTCATCAGTTACATTTTTTTAATATGTGCCGAGGCTTCTATCTTTTTAAGCTAGCCCATGTGAACCAATTACCCTAGACTAAGTATTTAATAAATATATGTAGTTAGAACAAATTAGACCATCTCAGAAAAGTTAAAGATAATACAAGATGACCATAAAGTTCATGTGCAATTTAAAATAGTTGCCTATCCATAAATTGCCTAGTCTGACAAGTCACAGAACTTTATGGCCACTCTATATATGGACTGAGTCCTTGTGACAAACAAGATCTTAAGAGTTAGGAGAGCTTCAGTTATTTCATAATCTCTGGCTTAGGAGTGCCTTGGTTTTATAATATTAGTATCTCTAACAGGGGTTGTGGTAGAAAGTGAGATATTGCTTTCTGTTTAATCTGGATTAAGTTAGTGATACCAAAGGACAGGTGCAGCTGAGAGACAGTGATAGTGGAGTAGGACCCCGTCTATCCGAGAAGCCTGCTGAACAAGGCTGCCTAGGCTGACGGTCACAAAACCTATGGCTTCTTTCTCACCTGAGAATGGATTTCATCCACGATTCTGTGTAAACTTTCCATTTAAGTGTAGGGCTAAGAAAGCCTTTTTATTTCTGATAAGGACCTGAGATGTAACTACTCCCTTTTTTTTGAGGCCTTAACTCCTCAGCAGTGCTAGTTAGCTAGCAAACTATAGAAAAGAAATCTCATCCCTGCAGGCAGAATTTGCACTGTTTCTTTCCTTTATGGCTCCTTTAGTGTTTATTAGACTGCTCTGTCCACACAGGCATTTGACATTAATCATGCTTTTGACAGTATCACTTACCTGTTAATTTCTAATTTAAGCAAGCTAAGTAGCTCAGTTTGCAAACAGAATTTTCTCTAACCCTGGAAAGTTTATATAAGACTTTTAAAACTAAAATCTGGGCCAGGCACAATGGCTCACACCTGTGATCCCAGTACTTCCGGAGGTTGAAGCAGGAGGATCGTTTGAGTCCAGAAGTTCAACACCAGCCTATGGATAATATGGTAAGTCCTACATCTCAAAAAAAGAAAATGGCATGCACCTATAGTCACAGCTACTAGGAAGGCTGATGTCAGATTTCTTGCGCCCAAGTGTGAAGTTACAGTTAGTTGTGTTGTACCCTACACTCCAACCTGGGCAACAGAGTGAGATGCTGTCACTAAAAAAAAAAAAAAAAGCTAAATTGTTCCTGTTTTCGTTTTGACTCACATATGCTTCAGGAAAGGTAACTTTTTTCATTGTTCAAAGGACACATAATTTTTAAGCTTATAGTGAAATTAGTTGGCTTTGTTTTTATGAATTTTAAATATATTTCTCTAGGGAGACTTCTGGCCCATAACTTTCCACAGCGATGGGATTTAGTCTTTATTCTCCAATATGGAGACATACATTTATTTCTATTCTTTGACTTCTATTGTGGCATCGACCTCTATTCTAGAAGGTCATGATCAAAAGAAGCCCAGAGACTACATGATGAGATACATCCCACACCGAAGTGAAAATTCCCAATTCCTGATCAACACATACACCATCTTCATCCTACCTGCAATGGCTATAGGAATTTACGCAGCTACCTAACAAAATGAAATTGTCAAATCGTTGGTTATTCCTTTACATAACCAGTTTATCATAAGATGCTCCAGTCCTCTGTAGTTTTACTAGATGACCAACTTGGGCAAGATGAAGTGCTTTCTTTAAAAAGAGTGTATTAAGTTCAGAAGATAGTAAACTAATAGCTGAGTGATGTTTAAAATTCTTGGAAATTCCCCTTTGAAACCCCAAGATTTCACTTCTGGGAAGCAATCTAAATCAGTGCTATCACATAAAATCATAATGCAAGCTACATCTGTAATTTTTAGTTTTTTTCTAATAGCCACATTAAAGAAAAAACAGATGAAATTACTCTTAAGAATATGTATTAATCCAAACAGCCACAATATTTATTTCAACATGAAATAGCAGAGTGCCAAAAATGTATACGTATTTTAAGAAAGGAAAAAGCTATTGAAATTGTAATGCTCAGGCTGGGCACCCATAGCTCAGTGACTAGAGCACCGGCCACACACCGAAGCTGGCTGGTTCAAGCCTGGCACGGGCCTGCTAAACAACAGTGACAACTGCAATCAAAAATAGCCGGGCGTTGTGGCAGGTGCCTGTATTCCCAGCTACCGGGAGGCTGAGGCAAGAGAATCGCTTCAGCCTATGAGTTTGAGATTGCTGTGAGCTGTGATGCCATGGCAGTCTACCAAGGACGACATAGTGAGACTCTGTCTCAAAAAAAAAAAAAAAAATTTGTAATGCTCAATATATACTGATAACAAGAAATGAATACAAGTCACATTGAGCACCTCTTGTAATTGCAGAAGTCAAAAATGACTTGAGTATTACAAATTTGATACAGTTTTTTTCTTAAAATGTGTATCCATTTTTGACACCCTCTATATATTAAAAAATTATTGAGGCCAGGCACATTGGCTCACGCCTGTAATCCTAACACTCGAGGAAGCCCAGGTGGGCGGATTGCTTGAGCTTACAAGTTTGAGACCAGCCTGAGCAAGAGCGAGACCCATCTCTAAAAACTAGCAGTCGTAGCAGGCGCCTGTAGCCCCAACTAATCAGGAGGTAGAGGCAAAAGGATCACTTGAGCCAAAGAGTTTCAGGTTTCAGGTTGCGGTGAGGTATGATAGCAAAGGCATTCTACCAGGCAACAAAGTAAGACTCTGTCAAAAAATAAAAATAAATTAAACAAAAATAGAAATATTTTACATTCTTTGTCTGTAGTAAATCTTCAAAATATAGTGTATTTTAGAGCACAGCTTACCTCAGACTAGCTACCTTTCAAGTTCTCAATAGCCACAACTATACTAGTTGGCTATTCCATCCAACAGGACAGGTGTAGACACCTGATCATTCTCTAGAGACACAGAAGGATGGTGATAAGGATCATCAAACTTTAAGTCAGACAATTCTGGGTTCACATCTTAAGTGCCACCTAAGTGTGACTTTGGGCAAATAACTTCAGTTTTTTCATATGTAAAACGGGGGTAATGTCTATCTTGTTGCAGTGAGGTAAGGAATAAACGAGATAATATAGGTAAAGGACATATTACATGTAGGTACTCAAAAAATAGCATTGAGTGGTTCCTTCCCCCAGCATTTCAGGCAGAAATGGCCTTCCTGCATTAGCTATTTGGATCCTTAAAATCCTGTATGTAGCTCTTCCTTTATATTCCTATAGAACTGTCTCATGATTTTGTAGCAAAATAGGCAATAACAAGAATCCAAGCGATTCCATTCCTAAAAATTGATTCCTCATTTCCAAAGGTTCCTGCCACGTATCAAAGGTCTTGCTCTGACTGAAGAAAAAGCTCAAGGAATAAGCAGAGCAAAATAATTGCAGCAAATAATTGCAGGGACTAGAAGGAAATGAGATTAAGAGAGAAAATGTTTTTCCAGAGCGGGTCCAGGACCTTGAAACTAAGAATAGCTTACTGCTTATTCTCTGTGCAACCTGTCAACACCAGCTTTCGTTAATGCTGTGCAAAAAGAACAAAGACACACAGACATTCATTCGAAACTCAGGTACAGGTAATAGTCCTCAGCATGAGTTTAACGACATAGCCACATCCTCCAGTGGATCTCACAGCAGCAGAATTTGTAGGCCAGAAAATCAGCTTAATGAAAGAAATAGCTTATACAATCTAAAAGCAAACTGCTACACCATTTGTCTTATTCTTTTCCTTTCTATTACAATATGTTCAGCACTTCATCTCTAGTGGATGTACAGTACTTGACAATTAGGAAAACATCGTTAGAGAATTAACGTGAGTTCACAAGGGCACTATCTCCCTTGTGCACCCACTGGAGTTCTGTTTCCAGATACAGCTGCTTTAAACAGAGCCAACTTTTAACAATCAAAAAAGGATGAGAGAGAAGCAGAAACTGAGCCTCCCATCATTAAAAACCAAACACACAAACCCCACAGCTATATCTAAGAGTGCTCTGCTGTGAGAATCACAGGAAGATAAAACAATCAGGGCTTCAGGGTGTATACCAGGGAATAAAGCCC